GATTGAATACAAAGACTTCTTAGGATTTTTAATTTTAGAGAGATTTAGTATAAGGGTTAAGATCATTCCATGCATAGCATAAATTAATTTATTATATAATGCTTATTATAGGAATATGATTATGTATGTGCCATCAATAGGCTTAATGAATAAAACTTGAACAATATGGAAAATTAGGAATAAGATTGTTCCAATTGCTCAATTCTAGGAAAGCAACAATACCTAATGAGCAAGGTCGGGCTTAGCAATCCATTGAAAGAATGTTAGTGCAAAGCAATTTATGGGTAATATCATCATACTCAATGATGGATTCTATATGTTTGGTGGTTCAATTATTGAGAGATACTCAGAGTAGAATAGTGTCTAGCAAAAATAAAAACTTTCATATACATTTGGAAGTTATTTTAAATTGTTACACCACCTATATTTAAGGCAAAATAGAACCAACAATAATTTAAGATTATATGCAAGAGATATTCATGATCATAAAGGATAATATATGTTAAATGGCTATATGAATATATTTACAAGTATTTTTAGAGAATAATTTGTACCACTATCAGCAAGACAACAAATTCAAGTGACATTTAAAAGTCTAGTATAGGGAGGAAGATCATTAATGAAGTATAAATATGAATTTATAGCTGTGGCAAGGTACTCTCCACAATTGTTTGGTGTTATGAATTTTTTAGAGATTTGAGAGATAATATTGGATAATCCTTAGTACCTTTCAAGAACAAAGACTTTGTTGAGTTAAAGTAGAGAGCTAGATTGACTGAATTTGATGTTATAATAGTGCAAAGAAGATTAAACTTAAATAAAGAAGAATGAGGGGAGAAATATCAGAAGAAGAAAGTAATTTTTAAATGAAATCAAGATTTAATCCTAGTTAATTAATAATAAATGTACTAATTCCAAAAGCTACCATTGAGGTTTGTGTAATTTGTGGAAACAGAAATTTAGGAAAAAAGCTTTATGAATATTGGTCAGTATTTTAAATTGGGTCGGGTTAATATTAGGGAGTGCCCTCTTAAGGGACCAGAGGAAAGAGCTACATCTATACTTAAGGAACGAGTACAAAGTTGGAGGCCAAAAAACTTTTCTACTAAGAGTTTATAATTCGAGATCTACTAGAAAAGAGGAGTTAGAATTATGACAATTAATTCAATAATCAGACAAAAATGTGTACTATTATACAATTGATTATCATCTTGTCAAAAACTTATCTATCTATAGATCTTGTATTAACCTATTGATAATCATGAATTATATGCACTCTCAAAACACATTCAAATTATTAATTATTGAGTATTTATATGTTATGTAAGAACTTTTGTTACATTAATAATCTAAAATCAAACTTTGTAAATGCATGGAAAAAAATCTAAAAGAGAGAAAAAAAAATACTAAATCTTATCATCTATTAGTGCATATATACTATGAAAAAATCAAAGCAATCCATAGTGTAACAAACACCTGAGAGTTTGGCCGGTGCTTAAAGCTCCATACTCTAGGACCCGGGCAATATAAGTCCAAGTGCTCAGACGCCTAAGAGCCTAGTAGCAAGCTTCAAACCAATTGCAACACCCAAACACCAATTTTAGGTGCACAAGTGGTAGTCCTGTGCCCAAGCATCAAAGCTTGGTGCCCGAATGTCTTCTTTAGTAACACCAAAGAGCTGGGCACCTTAACTACATGAATTTGCTAACCCTAATTTTTACTAGATTTCATGTTATTTTATACATGTCTTGGAGCTGGTTGAAACTTTCATATTAAGCAATTATTTTGGGATGGATTAAGGAACCTTTGGCCAAGTTTCATTAGCAATTTCTTGAGCTCCCTCCATGAATCTGAAAGGATTGACTTAAGAATATAAACTTTACTTATAAATGAAATAGATCATCCTATGAAATACAAATATTTGTTAAGAGTAATGAATCTCCTGTTTAATTTAAGGAAGTCTTTAAATATATTTTAAAACCCATGCCAAAATTCAAATAAAAAAAAATAAAAAAGTTTAATGGGTTAAATCTTAAATAAAAACTTGTACAATTTTGGGAAGGATGTTTACCTTCAAATTCATAGTGAAATTGAAAGAAATAAAGCATTTTTATTTGATTTAAAACCTCTAGGATTGGAGGGATGCCATCAGCTAAGAGTAGTGAAGGAGGGGAAAAAAAAAAGGAGAAGTGGCAGTTTTAGGGGGTGATAGTTCGAATAAATATAAGCTTAAGTCCAACACCACTTCTACTACTGACAATCGTCATCGACCGGCATTAGCCACGACCGACTGCAATTGACCACCACCGACTGTCGTCGATCACCGCTGACCAGCGTAGACCACTGTCAATCACCGCCAACCGTCGTCGACCACTGTCAATCGCCGTCGATCACCATTGACTATCGTCGACCTCTGTCGACCGTCATTGACCAGCACTGACCACCATCAATCAACGACGACC